GAAGGGCTTGGAAGAGCTTCACTTCCAAACTACAGAGCAAGCTCCACAAACCCAAAGGCATCACAAAACCCAGAAACCGTGTCAAAGCAATCACTGCTGATGCTGCTTCTTCTTCTCCTTCTGCTTGTGCTTCTGGTCGACTTCGACCCTACAAATTTCCCCAACTGCGTTTCAAACGCAGACGGCGTCTTGCCCTACGTTTTCTCTATAACCACCCTCAGCTCCTACAGAATCGCAGCACTGCACATGTCTATGTTGACAAGCTTTTTAAAGAGCCGGCTGTGACTGAGCCAGTCGAGCGCTCTCAGCCTCCTGTAGAAAAGTGCAAGCAAGCTGCTGCTGCTGCTGCTGCAACAATAGCTACTGGAAGTGGGGGCGAGAGAGCTTGTGCTACAGCAGACGATATGTGGGAGTCATTGGGATTTGCTTCCCCTCTGATGCATGGAATTGATGAAAGAGCTGAGGAGTTCATAGCCAGGTTCAGAAAGGAAATGGAGGTTCAGGAGAAGCTGGCACGCGATCATTTGTAGCAGAAGCTTTTAAAAAAAAAAAAAAAAAATTAGATTAATAGATCATCTATACATATGTAAATTAAGTGTGATTGTTCTGCTCAAGAATTTGTTTCGCATGAATCTGTGATATTTATTCGTTTCAAGATAAAAAAAAGAGTGAATTCTGTACTTCGTAGCTTATATTTAGCATGGCATGAAGGATTGAAGAGTACATGTTTGGCTGTAGAAGATTTACTTGATGGGTTTGCAGAAGACAGCGAGAAATAAATCAAGCAAATTTGCAATGTTGATACGTGAAGATTCCTTTGGGTTCTTTTCTTTCTTTTTAGTTGGAAATACGTTAACAGTACAAAATTTAAATTAATGTTCCGTCATTGCAGTTTGGTTTTTAACAATTGATTCACGAAATCCATAACAGCAACGTAATTAGGTAAATTCAAAGTAATGTCATTACACAACTCATTACATGACAACTGAGAACAAAGTCAACAACAATTCAAATGGCCCAACATCCACAGGGTAGCTCACGTAATAGCAATAAAACTACAGTATCCTCAGTACTTAAGCTTACAGTAATCACGACTGAGAGGTTTGCAAATCAAAGATGGAGGCTCCAGCTCAGCATGTTCTGCCACAACCGAACTATGAGTTCAAGAAGTCCAGCTTACAGAACTGCTGTATAAGAGCACTGCCATTACGTCTCATTGACAACCTTGAAAGCATTTTGAGAGAAGGGCTCCATCAGTTAAGAAAGTCCTTCATTGGATCATCATGATGAACTTTCTTCATCCTATAAGCCTCCATATCCTCAGCAGTAACTTCATCATTCCATTTTACATTATATTTGCGCTTTCTTTCATCTCTCACTTCTCTCTTTCTTGCATCCTCCTTTTTAAGAGCATCAGCAAGTAACTTCTCATCTAAAACCAAATCATCTGGTATATCAGTTCCCCAAGTAGCAAGTCTTTTCTCCTCCACTGGTTCAGGCATATCTCCAATGGCCTCTTTACGAGCAATGTTAGCCTTCATAAGTTCACCTGCAGCCTCAGCAGCCTCAATTCCAGCAGCGCCAGTGCAATAGCTATTGCGAGTCAACTGCTTACAGCACCTGTAGCCCCATTGATGATCCTTCCACCATGAACCCCATACACTGGTGTGGTTGTTGGCATATACATCTTCTTCATACTTGCTTCTGGGAAGTGTTGTTTCTTGCCCCTTGATGATCCTCCCAGCACGATCATATTCAACTTCTCGTTCACTCTGTCCCAGTAGAAGCTCCCTAGGAAATTCTTCTTCATTAGCTGCATTGCCATACTTCTCCAGAATGGTGTCCTTTGTTTGTGACTTCAAATTCTCCTTGATCACCTTAAAATTCTTATAAAGCAACTCAGCTTGGGACGGCGCTGCTTGCATGTGAATATCTTGTCCCTTTTCAAATGATTCCCAAGCATGGATGTTGAGCTGCTTGAACTCCATAGCTTGACCACTATTTCTATGTCGATTATCACCCTATATCACAAAAGCAAATACGAGAACAATAAAATATACGGTAAACCTCACCTTAAAAAAACTAGGAAAAAAATACCAAAAAAGCAGTTAACTATTGTAGGCACTTACCCCATAGAACTTCTCATTCGGATCCGCATCAGGAAGAGGGTCCTCACGCATGGATCGGGTTTTTGGGTCATAGTGTGCAGAGTCAACATCGAGGTTTAAAAGATACTTTGCTGTATCCTCACGAATACGCAAATTCCTGCAAACAAAAATACATGAGTAAGAATTCAAATAGACACCAATGCAGAAGTGAGACAATAACACCCCTTCAACACAAGATGACACCCCTTCAACACAAGATGACAATTAAAGAACCGGTATAAAGAAGTTTTCACCTGACAGTTCCTGTGCTCCCACCACCCGTTGTACGCACACGCTTCTCAACCTTAGCAAAGTCCATTTGTTTGCTCTCATCAACCTTGGCTTCATCCACCCTCAAATCATCCTCATTATCATCCTCATCCTCATCACTAACCCCGTCCTCTCCATTTGGGTTATTATTTTTCTCCTCTAATTTCTTGAGCTGTTGTGTCTTTACGTATTTCCTTCGAGCTTCATCTCTTGATTCATATCTCTCAATGACACGGGCATAGGTTGATGCATCATATCCATTCCAGCGGTCCCGTTTTCCATCATAGTCAAGCTCAAAAGTCTCTATCTTTTCATCAGGAGCGATGTGTTTGTTTGTAAACTTTGCTCCCACTCTCCTAGGTCTTTCCATACATGCCTTTGAGTCGTGTGTCATGGCACCACAGCTGTAAGAATAGACATTCAAACATTATTCTCCAGTTCACGAGATAAACTGAAATGGAAACAAAAGCCTTAGAGAGAGAGAGAGAGAGAGAGAGAGAGACAGAGAGACAGAGACAGAGACAGAGACTTACTTCTCACATGCACCCTTCCTATATTTATCAGCCTGGTGTATCTTTGCACCTCTGTCATACCATGATGTTGTATAATTAGGATCTGATTTCCATTTCCTTTGATGTTTTAAGCTCTGAGAAAATTAAAACAAAACAGAAAAAATGTCTCAATATTCAGAACTTTTGCCACAGCGTATGTTCATCAAAACTAGGAACTCATTAGAAAGAAAATGAACAACTTACAGGCCTCTCAGAGTTGAGATACCAAGGTGCGGATGACATATATTGGGGTATATGAGGATTAATCTCCTTTCCATCCTCATCCAGTTCAGCTGGTGCAAGCCCAGCTTTACGCGCTTCTTCCAATTCGATTTGTTTGCGATGGTCTTCCCTAGATTTGAATGCCACTACAAGAGCAACCACATAAGATACATCAATATAGGAGTAGGGGAGGAGAAACACAAGTTTTTCAAAAAACACAAGTTTTGCCAAAACCCAGAAAAGAAAAAAGCAAAAAAAGATTATCTACATTCTAGATTAAAATAAACTTAGTCTGGATAAAGAGAAACCATATATTATCACATCAACATAGTAGTTTCTAAGGTAAAGCCTAGGTAAGTTTCTAACACTGCTAAAAAAAATCAACCTTTCATAGGAACATATAAATTAGTAAGCACAGCAATCATCCAAGCTGTAAGGCCCAATTTCAAATTATAACTGTTTCCTCTTGTTTCACCTATTCATACTGTTTTTATGATCTTCACTTTGAGTTGGAGAATTGACAACAGTGATTTGAATTATAAAATCCAAATGTCAACCAACTTGAATGTGATAACTGGTAAGCCCCAATCAATTTCAAATTTTTATAACATAATTTCAACCCAGGTCGCGGAAAAACCCTAAAATCCATAAACTAAACGAATCACACTATGGACCCCATCTGAGCTCAAAACAATCAAATCTTCGATCTGCTATAAGTAATGAATATGATTCAAGAATTAAATTCAAGAAAAATTCTACCAAAAAAGATTATTTTTAATGATTCAGACAAATTTTGAGTAACAAATTGTGAAATTTATTATATGAGATATAGGGAATAAACGATGGAAAAGAAGAGAGAACCTGAAGCAGTCGCCATGTTTGGTCGTCTCGAAGCTGAAACTTGAAACGACAGGAGAAATTGAATTGAGAGGTCGTTTTGAGCGTCAGCTTTAGAGGTGTTGATTGTCGATTTATATAGGCCCTAAAACCCGAGATCGACTTGCACGAAAATAAATATTTCGGCTACGAATCCAACAGACGAGGGATTGGGAAACCCAAGCAGAGACGTGGCTTTAGAACGAACGACTCCTCCGCCTCCTCCTTCTCTATCTTTCTGAAACAAGGCCTGAGGCGGTTATGTTCCTTCCAATGGAAGATGGAAACGATAGCGTTTCGTCTTTTCACAAACCCAAAAGGACTACCTATTGGGCTTAAAGAAAGGGCTTAATATGGCCCTTCATTCAAGGCCCAAATTCAAAACGGGGTTGGCTTTGGGTTGTGTTTATTGAACTGAACCAAGTTGAATTTGGTCCTGACCCGAATTGAGAGCTTGTATTGAACTCCCGACCCGCCCAGCTCAACCCGACTTGCACCCTAATTTAATGGATACAATATTATAGATGATCAACCTTGTGGTTATTGGAATGTTTTAATGTTAATCATTAAACATGTACAAGCATATTGGCACTGAAAACTTAACATGCATAGATTTGAGTCTATGATCTCTACCGATAACAAGTTATTTCAGAAAACATACTATATAGATAGTTTGACAAAAGAATATTACTAAGTTAGAATCATAGTAAAAATACATGACGGGAATAAAGCGTACACGGTACATGTAAATATGTAATCAAACATGTATTACTTTTTTTTTTTTTTTCCTCCCTTTCAAAACACAAACATTAATATATTGTTTATACTTTCAAGTTGTAGAATTATAGAACACAAATGTCAAAGTTCAAAGCATTTCATGATGAGAGAGATACAAATTAAAGTTGACATGCTTTAGGTGAGTGGGTGTTAGCAGAGACATGCATATCTTGTGAGGATTTTATAGGCTTATAAATATTTGCTTCTAAACTCATGTTTAGAGTGTTAACTATATTAATTACGTGCAAATAATCTTTTTTCTTCAGGTCTACGCAAAGTGCACGTGTTTGCCGCGTATTTGTTTTTCTTTGTTCTTACTTGAGTCATATGCACGCCTGCAAAGTATCGTTATCGAGGATTATAAAATAGGCAAAGGTGATAACTCCAAATTTCATGTGAAATCTACTGTTGGGCAATCATGCTCTTTAAGTGGAGCCCTTATTAAGTGAAAGAGAGGAGAAATACTTAGCTATTACCGATTTATAAAACCTTTTTCTTAATCTCTCCCGTTATTGCCCGTTGGATATAAAATTATTTTATGTGTCTCGTTACCTTATAGAAGAGTGCACTTAAGAAAATTAGGTCGATAGTTTGATTAACTAATTGATATATCAAACTGTCTTATGAGAAAATATTATTCGTTACGTGTGATAGAAAAGTATACTTAACGTATGATTAACTAAGAAAATTAGGTCGATAGTTTGATTAACTAATTAATATATCAAACTGTTTGATAAAAAATATATTATTATGTAGCATGGTTTCAACTAAGAATTTCCGCATAAATTTCGTTCTTCTTTGAAAATATAGCATTCACCACCCCTTGGTAGGCTAATTAAGAAAACATTAAGTGCATATAGTATGATCTATTTTGCAAAAGACTATACACAATCCCAAGCTGATTAACTGGAGAAATTTTTATATGTTCCAGGTACACCACGTAGCTGGTGTACCATCCAATAAACATAGGACATGTGGAATTATTGTCCAACTTACTGCATTTCTTTTTATGTCATCTGGCGGGTTGTATTGGAAATATTCCATATGTCCTTCGTCTATTGGATGGTACACCAGCCACGTGGTGTACCTGGAACACCCAAAAATTACTCGATTAACTGGTAGTTTCTTCTTCATATTAGTCATTAATTAATAAGTTAGCCTTTAACCACCATTGATTAACGTTTGTCTTGGTTCTTGGACCATGGTGACATCCATCTCATAAATTTGAGAAGAATTTGCATGCCACGGGATAACACTACTATTTTACTATATCCCTCGTGATATACAGGTTGTTCTCCATAAACCTCAACCAAACTTGTCCTCTGTGCTCTAAGTTCAGAAATGATTGCCTTCTTGCTTGCTGGTCGAACACAGATTTAGATGATAATTATTTTGTCGACAAACAAATTCATTCCGACAAAATTGAACAATATATATATATATATATATATATATATATATTTATGTTTTGCCGCGTTGAATACGATGGTCTCATTTTTGTTTTTCTAAGGGTCAAAGAATTGGACGGCAGAAAGCAAACCAAATTCTATTTCCCAACTGGAAGCTTAATGAATAAAATTACAAAACAGTCTTCTCGTTCTCTCCAAATCAAATACCTAATAATAACTCTGGAATTTCATCCGCTCCTGGGAGAATATTGAGCCAAAAATCCATGCTGTTATGGTCATACATATCTAAGCAAAACCCATCATCAGCAGGGCCCACACCAACTCCTGGGACACCACCAATGGCCTGAACCTGGTCCACCATCTGATCAAAATTCTCAGCCGACAATACCTCCGACCAGAAGCTCTCATCAGCCTCTGGTAAGTTTGCTGCGTACCCATCAAACTCCATGCATGTCTTGTCGTTGTTGCTTTTGATGTTGCTGTTGTTGTCGCTTGTGGTGGCTGACGACGTGTCACTTGAGGTGCATTGAGGAGGAGAGGCTGGCCCACAATCCAAGCTCTCAGATTTTTCACTGGGCTCTGGCTCTTGCTCTGTTTTTGTGGAGAAGAAGCGTGCTCTGGTTTCTGAGGTGGTGGTTCGGTTTTGTTTGAGCCTCTTTTTTAAGTGGGTGTGCCAAACGTTTTTAATTTCATTGTCTGTACGACCCGGCAATCTAGCTGCAATTGCTGACCATCTGAGATTATAGGAAAAATAAAAAAACAAGAGCAAAATCAGAAATCAATTATGATATCAAATCAAATCTGTTCTGTCTGTCACATGAATGATTATGTGCACTACGCAAAACTGCCATGTTTTTTTTTGTAGGTATTTTAATTGCTTGAAAAACGTGCTTTTTGTTGTTGTTTAGGCTTGTGCATGAGAAAGTTGTGTAAGGAATCTTTTGCAGCGCCCACATGCTTCACTAGGAGGCTAGATTGGCAGCTAGTATGAACCCATTTGAAAAAAAAAAAAAATGAAGGGTTGTTTTTGCAGCATCAATTTGTGTGAATTCACATTGAATACGAACACGATCTAAATTGAAAGTGACGAGTCTGTCGATCTAACGGCTACAACTGTGTTATATACAAATACAAATTGGTTTGTAGTAATGATAAGTACCTATTTCCTAGCACTTCATGTAAGTTGATGATTGCGTCTTCTTCTTCTCTGCTGAAATTCCCTCTTTTGATATCCGGCCTCAAGTAGTTTGTCCATCTGAGTCTGCAACTCTTTCCACACCTCAACAAACCTAAAGAGAAAAGAAACAAGAAACATTCATCAAAACATGGAAAAACAGAGAAACCAGAATTTAGCATTTCACTGAAAAATGCCAACATGGGTAATTAAAATCAGGCCAATTCATCCACTTTCTACAATGAATTTCTGAAACTTTAATAAAAAGCCAAATGCTTTCGTATATTTCTAAAGAACCCGAGAAACAGACAGCAATTAATCGGTGTGTAATTACTACCAGCTAGTTTTGGCAGAGCTCGCCAGTTGCCATGGCCATACTGTTGAATGTAAGTGACAAGTACGTGATCTTCTTCAGGGGTCCAAGGCCCTTTCTTCAACCCCATCTTCTCACAGCAAGGAGCTCTCACCATCTTCCTCTTCCAAAAATTTATCAGAAAAAAATAAAACCCAACTCTCTGTGTTCTTTGTTCTGCTAGGCTGCTCTGCTATTAGTTTTTCAACCTTCTCTGAAAGCTCAAAGCAAATAGCAAGGCCAAAGAATGAGAGAGCCATAAGTCCATATATACACACGCAAAGCGAAAGTGTGCGGGCCCGGTACGAAATAGTCCAAAGTACAGAAATGATTCAATTGAAAATATTATTTTGTAAAGACAAATTTGGCCCCCACTGTATATTTCTAGGAGATCTTTTTTTTTTGGTCAAACCGATGTCCTGGTTCATAGTTGTCCGATTATTTGATTAGTCAAACTAAAACGTGGGCTTTTACTTCCTTGTTTGTTGCTTTGTATTTTTTCTGGGTTTGGCTTCTTGGCTGCTCACCTCTGGAATGAAAGCACTGTTTCTGACCCGAAAAGTAATAATAATAAACGTGGGGATTTTTATTTCTATCTGAAATGGATGTGAACCTTTTTAGCTGTATTTATAACCAAGTGGATCAAACTTTTTCACGCAATTTGAGTTTCAACCAGTCAAGATATATAGCAGAGGTTCTTGAATTTTCAACAGCTCTGACTTCTTTTTATTTTATTTTATAATTTTTATGAATAATTATTGTATTGCATTCACTCTTCAAGTAGGAGTTTAATATTTGGTTTTTGGTCTAAATATATGCTTGAAATTTTTTGAGACCCCTTGGCCCTCGTTTGTTAGGGAGGAATAAACTAGACTGGACTAAATTAGCAAAATTCCTATGTTTCATGTGCAATCAAAGTATAATATGAATTTTGTTGTCTAATTGAGGATGAAGGAGGACTATTCATAAGAGGTTGATGACTAAAACTTATCCCTCGTAATCCCACCATTTTTAAGGGGATTAAGGGGGATAAGTTCTAGTCATCAAACCTCTTATAGATAGTCCTCATTCTTCCTTCAAGTTAGACAACATATCCCATAAAATGCATGCATTTTACTAGTCTAATCTAGTCCTCTCTATCAAACAAACCGTAAAGGTTTTTATTTTTCCTTTTGACACTTTTGTATAGGAGAAAATGTTTATGTATGAATTGGCTTTGTTCAGGTAGAAAAACAAGGAAGGCCAAAGTCCCTTCTGGCATTGTTTCTAGTTCAACATAAGTGCCTTGGAGGGTCAAGAAAGAGGGCTAGTTTTCTTGAATAGATTGCAGACAAAATTCAACATCATATATATTCTTTTAAATTTGCATAATTTTAACAAAATCCATTTTTAAATCCCATTTGATTCTAATTAAAATACGATCACAAATTTCGCCACAAGGATTGCTATTGAATACGAACACGATCTAAATTGAAAGTGACGAGTCTGTCGATCTAACGGCTACAACCGTGTTATATACAAATACAAATTGGTTTGTAGTAATGATAAGTACCTATTTCCTAGCACTTCATGTAAGTTGATGATTGCGTCTTCTTCTTCTCTGCTGAAATTCCCTCTTTTGATATCCGGCCTCAAGTAGTTTGTCCATCTGAGTCTGCAACTCTTTCCACACCTCAACAAACCTAAAGAGAAAAGAAACAAGAAACATTCATCAAAACATGGAAAAACAGAGAAACCAGAATTTAGCATTTCACTGAAAAATGCCAACATGGGTAATTAAAATCAGGCCAATTCATCCACTTTCTACAATGAATTTCTGAAACTTTAATAAAAAGCCAAATGCTTTCGTATATTTCTAAAGAACCCGAGAAACAGACAGCAATTAATCGGTGTGTAATTACTACCAGCTAGTTTTGGCAGAGCTCGCCAGTTGCCATGGCCATACTGTTGAATGTAAGTGACAAGTACGTGATCTTCTTCAGGGGTCCAAGGCCCTTTCTTCAACCCCATCTTCTCACAGCAAGGAGCTCTCACCATCTTCCTCTTCCAAAAATTTATCAGAAAAAAATAAAACCCAACTCTCTGTGTTCTTTGTTCTGCTAGGCTGCTCTGCTATTAGTTTTTCAACCTTCTCTGAAAGCTCAAAGCAAATAGCAAGGCCAAAGAATGAGAGAGCCATAAGTCCATATATACACACGCAAAGCGAAAGTGTGCGGGCCCGGTACGAAATAGTCCAAAGTACAGAAATGATTCAATTGAAAATATTATTTTGTAAAGACAAATTTGGCCCCCACTGTATATTTCTAGGAGATCTTTTTTTTTTGGTCAAACCGATGTCCTGGTTCATAGTTGTCCGATTATTTGATTAGTCAAACTAAAACGTGGGCTTTTACTTCCTTGTTTGTTGCTTTGTATTTTTTCTGGGTTTGGCTTCTTGGCTGCTCACCTCTGGAATGAAAGCACTGTTTCTGACCCGAAAAGTAATAATAATAAACGTGGGGATTTTTATTTCTATCTGAAATGGATGTGAACCTTTTTAGCTGTATTTATAACCAAGTGGATCAAACTTTTTCACGCAATTTGAGTTTCAACCAGTCAAGATATATAGCAGAGGTTCTTGAATTTTCAACAGCTCTGACTTCTTTTTATTTTATTTTATAATTTTTATGAATAATTATTGTATTGCATTCACTCTTCAAGTAGGAGTTTAATATTTGGTTTTTGGTCTAAATATATGCTTGAAATTTTTTGAGACCCCTTGGCCCTCGTTTGTTAGGGAGGAATAAACTAGACTGGACTAAATTAGCAAAATTCCTATGTTTCATGTGCAATCAAAGTATAATATGAATTTTGTTGTCTAATTGAGGATGAAGGAGGACTATTCATAAGAGGTTGATGACTAAAACTTATCCCTCGTAATCCCACCATTTTTAAGGGGATTAAGGGGGATAAGTTCTAGTCATCAAACCTCTTATAGATAGTCCTCATTCTTCCTTCAAGTTAGACAACATATCCCATAAAATGCATGCATTTTACTAGTCTAATCTAGTCCTCTCTATCAAACAAACCGTAAAGGTTTTTATTTTTCCTTTTGACACTTTTGTATAGGAGAAAATGTTTATGTATGAATTGGCTTTGTTCAGGTAGAAAAACAAGGAAGGCCAAAGTCCCTTCTGGCATTGTTTCTAGTTCAACATAAGTGCCTTGGAGGGTCAAGAAAGAGGGCTAGTTTTCTTGAATAGATTGCGGACAAAATTCAACATCATATATATTCTTTTAAATTTGCCTAATTTTAATAAAATCCATTTTTAAATCCCATTTGATAGATAGAGTTGTTTGAGAAAACAAAATCCATGTAGAGCTTAATCCTTTTTTCATATATCAAAATAGAATAAACTTTGATTCTAATTAAAATACGATCACAAATTTCGCCACAAGGGTTGCCTGATACAAAAAAGATGGCCTAGTTAAAATCTTACCTTAAAAGACTTTCAAAAGAGAAAAATTCTAAAACAAAACGACCCCTCCATAATGCTAACACAGGGAGACTCAAACTGATAGTGTACATGCCTAACTTCTAATGTAAATGGAAGAGTTGACATATATTTGAGCCAACCTAAAAATGAGCTAAATTATACATTCACATTAGAAATAGGGCTTGGGACAAAATCTAGTGCCTATATATGATTGTCTCTATGTTCAATATTATTGGAAGTCTCAATCCAGCAGAGAAAAACGTCAAAGGTGTGAGATCTATTGAGTATAGATGAATCAAGTTTTAGTTCAGATTCAATTGTGTTTTATGAGAGAGACTGTTAAGAAAATGACATTAACAATTTGTGCAGCCAATTAAATTCAGAAATCTCTTAAATCCCAATTAGCAGTGAGATTAATTATAAACTAGTAAGTAGGGCATGGGATGCCACTGAGCTCACCACTTGCTTCATGATCCTAATTTTCTGTTCTTTTATCATTATCTGGTGTGTAAAATTTTCAAAGAGAAAATGATTAAATTAAGTATACCGACTTGGACAATTACCAGAAATTCCAATGATGATCTCACCAAATTGAACTAAATAAAAGTAGGGAAATTGAGTGGCGTCGGCCGTCACCATATGGACAAGGTGCTGATTGGTGATTAGTAAGTCCTAATCAAACACAATTAAAAAAAAAATACATGCAATGGAAGCAACTGTTGTGGCCATAGACTGTCCCAATTAGTCACTAATGATGTCACTAATCCAGTCAAAAAGCTATACTTTGACCTTTTTCTTTTCTCCTACCTAAGTACACTTCAAAATTTGAAGGCAACAAATGAAATTCAATTTGAATTGTGAAGAAAAAAGTCTTCATATTTGTCTTTGTTGTTGACACAAATTAACCTAAAAAATCAAAGAACGAACGAATGAACATAACTCATCATATGATAACGTGTAATACGAATTTTGATATCCATAAATATGATGAATTTGGAACACACATAAGATCATGTTTGAAACTCAGATTGAACTGGATATCAGTGAATCATGCCAATACACAAAATCGGACAAGCAAAAGATGAATATTAATATATTTATTTTGGCAAGGTTCGACGTGCAATCAATCAACTCGTGCATATACGCATCTTACAGGCAAATTAACTTCAACTTGACTCTCCAGGGTAAAAGTAGCAAGCCAGTTTATTCAGTAGTAATATTATATATGTGTTAAATTTTGACAACTTTTCCCTGGTTAAATGTATGAAGACCTAAATATATGTATATAAAGTTAGTCAATCACTTTAATTACCCATCGACATAAGATGGAGAAGAAGCTGGTCATGCTTTTCAACATAGTTACATATAATATGACATATGATCAATGTTATTGGGCGGTTTGAAGTGTATCTTGATTGCTTTTAAGACGCTCTTTTCAAAGAAAGTGTTTCACGGGAATCATATTTCTGTTGCGCTGTAATTTCATTATTCTTGAATTTATTAACTTTCCCTTATAATCCAAATCCCAAATTTTCTAACCTACTTCTTTGACAGAAATTGGTACACACGTCAATTCACATTTTTTTAATAATTTTGGCAAATCTCTATTTCGAGGAATCATATTTATAAGATTATGGCAATTTCAAACAAGTACAAATATGAGTTGATGCATGTTTACTGTGACACACCCTCGTCATGCATGGACAGCTCCAAACAAGCAGTTAATTGTAAGACAAGCCCTCAAGACATATTTTATACAACTAATGCTGTACCAAACGAGCCCTCGACATTCATGCCAACTTGCCAAGCCTCACATCAGGGAAAAAGGATACATCAGTCCGTGTAAATCATGTGTACACAAAATCATGGTTGGGTAATTTCTTATGCCTCAATTAACTTGGACATGCAAATTTAATTAGGCAGGCATTTGAAAATATAGATGTGGCCAAAGAATGTGTAGACAAACTCACACTGTATAGGATCGATCTAATAAGTAAAAAAGCTTGGGTTAAGATACTTGATGCATTAATTTGACAATTTTAACATGCACTTATAACTTTTACACACTTTTATGAAAGAGAGATTTGAATTTATGTTTCTTTTCTAGAGGTATGATTTCGTTTAGTCTATTTCACGAGTCAAAACTGTAGTACTGTCATCTCATATTGAATGAGGCACGAGTTACAACTGCAGTACTGTCATCTCATATTGAAGGAGGCACAATAAAATACTTGAACCCGAGTGCATGGATAAACACTCTTAACTACTTACTTACGAGTCATCTAAACCTAACTCTTCACCAACATATTAAATAGTCAAAATTAGTATAATTATTATTAATTGAAAATTTAATATAACGTACTGTGATATGATTTATGGGTTAATCTATGAGTCCAAAATGATTATTTCCGCAAATTGAAAATTTAGAAGATGTCAAGTTGATACAGTCGAAAATTTTGAACATGTCAAGTTCCTTAGGCTTTGGCTTGACATGAAAACGAATGTTGTATTTGTGACCGACTAAAATTCCTTTCTGTTTTTTATTATTATTTATTTTCGAAATGAACAAAAATAGCAGCCAGTACTATTATTAATTTTAAATGGGATGATATTTAACCGAAAAAAGTACTGGCTGCCAAATTACCAGAGTGGCTGTGGTCCTCCCCTTCTTCCTTCTTCCATGTTTGACACCGAGGATCAAAACAGGTTTTTTCTTTCCAGTGTAACCAAACAAAAAAAGGTACTGGCTGCCCTATAAAATTCTTTGTATTTTATATACGTCGGCTTGGCTAGTTGTGTATATGTTTGTGCTAAAAACCAGACACTAAAAGAATACGCACGTTTTGTTAGAGTATCTTTTGATTAAAGAGAGCATCTCAGCGGGCGTGCTATGATGAGCAACTTTTCCATTATTGGCCTGAAAAAATCTGCTACAATATTATATTGAGAACATAAAACCTACATAGTGTTTAAACTAGGCGTGGGCTCGATTCGGGTTGGTTTGATTTTGAGTCCAACCCAGATACCGAATCGGAGGCTTCGAGTTGGCTATTCTGGGAAACCGGTCAGTCCAGTTAACCAGAATTGGTAGTTTGGGTTGATTCAGTTTCAAGTTTAGGCCGAAGAGAGAGAGAGCGAGAGAGAGAGAGAGAGCGAGAGAGAGAGAGAGAGAGAGAGAGAGAGCAAGAGCAAGAAGAAGGGAAGAAAATAGACAGGGAGAGATTGGGACAGGGGAGAGAGGAAGAGGAAGGAAAAAAATAGAATAAGAAGACGAATCAAACCGATTGAAGACCCTTTTCCACCGGACTAGAGCTAGTTGGCAACAATTACTCTATTAATTAAGATAAAATTATAAAATCGCAATTTCTCACGCAGAGAGCACGTGCTGGACTGCTAGTTCATCTTTACTTTATATCCTACATTCCATATAGTATTGTAGTAGGACGTTACAGAGATTCCCCACTCTCTCTAAACATTTTGTCACAAGGTTCCCTATGTTTCAATCCTGCCAGTATAAAAGAATTTCAAAATCTTGAAGAATTGTCTGAATCTGAAGCTACATCCGACCACCACGCGAAACGACTTCCTGTTCCATCCAGAAAGCGATCAGTATGCCACCCCTTGGCCTGCAGTTCAGATACAAATGGACCATATACATCATTCATCTTCTCGTACG